TCTGCAAAGCTGGCTGGTCGCTGCTGTGGGCAGGTCACTGGCCACTGATGCCCAATTAGAGGCTGAAACTCAAGTTAGAAAGTCAGAAGATGAGCTGAGATTAGAGAAGAACATGCGATGTCCCCTGCTCCACTAACTTTGGGGCTGGCAGGCGAGGTGGGAAAGCAGGATGAGTTGGAGAACTTACCATGCCATTTTGCAAAACTAGGAGGTCACAGACTGTCTTGGTCACAAGACCAAGCACTTGTGACAAAGCCTGAATGGATGGTAAGTGGTGGAATCCCTGGGAAAATGAGGAGAGGGAAGAGGAGGGTGTTATGGTGATTGATGGTGAAATAGACAAAGCCCCCCATGCCATCGGATCCCTGATACAAAGGAAAGCAAAAACCCAGCAACAGCGACCCCAACCAGCAGGTCAACCCCCAATTCATGAAACGTTCATGGTGACAGAATAAACATCCACTGAGATCCTTGATACTGCTCCCAAATTCCAGCAAAAGGCCAGGGAAAGTACCCAAGCATGGTTAGTGTAGCTATGGGATGAGGGCAGGAGGGTGGCACTTCTGACTGGGCAGGAGGCAGAGAAAATGAGCAACATCACTACACAGCTTGTCCTCCTGTAGCATTTGCATAGGACTTGGGGGTTCAAAGTCCTCACTCCCTTATAGATTGGATTGTTCTAGCCTGCAGGAAGGCTTGGCCCAATGCGGGGGTCTCCCTGGGCATGTAGGACCCTGGAAATCTATAGAGGAAGTAAAACAACTTCTTAGGGAGTTGAGGCTTAGACAGGCCATTTGTGCCCCTGTCTTTGAAGGCCCTGATCAGGCCACATTCACTGCAGGAATGAAAGCCAGGATAATCCAGTCCACTCCCATCACCTGGTACCAGAGGCCAATATCCATGCCAGGCACAGTCACGGGACACAAAATTTCTGATGTTGGGCAATCCATTGGTGATTTGGAGGAAACCAACAAATCCTGGCCTGCGGGAGAGACCCAAGACAGAGAGGGAGTTGGAGAACCCAAAGGGCTCTCCCAAAGGGCTGTAAAAGATTTGGTAAAAGTAATCTGGAAGCAAATATGTTTTGACCTCATTGCTTCCAGGACCCCACTAGAAAAGATAAACCAGCAATCCGGCACCGTGTTGGTCGGCCTGTAGAAAGCTTTAAAACTCGAACAACAATTTAGAACTGCCCCACCTGCCCCTATCATCCCTGATGGCCCTCCTGCTCCAGCAGAGACCTCAGGGATACAGTCCTTTTCAGGGTGGGTGCTTCCCACCCATTCAGGTATAGGATGCAGGCCAAGATTGCCTCCAGGTGGGAACTATTGCGGGCAATCACAGGCCTCGTGTTGAGCTCACTACTCGCTGATCTTCCAGAAATTAACAAAAGGTGGCAGCTCTGGTGGGCACTGGAGCCCGATGGACTCTAGTACATGGTCACCCTCAGAGGTTTTCTGGCACCCTTGGCACCACTGAATTATGGAGGGTAAGTGGTTATAGTAAGGAAGGTCCTTTTGACACAGCAAATTGATTGTTCTCCCTGCCCCCCAACACCCCAAGAATATGAGGTTTTTATCACTCCAATACCAGAGAACGTATTGGGTATCAACATCCTAGAAGATCAAAAACTCTGCAAACCTCTGTCGGTGAGTTCTGCCTCCTAGTTAAGTAATCAAAGCAGTGATGGGGGAAACATCAACTGGGAATAAGTCTGCCACCCCTGGGGAAGAGCGGTAACTGTCAAACAATGTGAATTGCCTGGGTGGATGGGGCTTAAGGGAAGAGAAGAAACTACCCCAGGACTGTAGTGAGTGGGAATTGCCCACAGTGCTTTTAACAGCCCGGTATGGCTGTAGAAAAAGCCAGATGACTCATGGACTAGGGAGAACTGAACAAAGTCGCACCCCCATGCCTGTGGCTGTGCCCAGAGATGCCACAATCTTTGATGCCTTGGCTGCTGTCCTAGGAATGTACCTTGCCGTACTGGGTTTAGCAAATTCTTTCTTCACTATACACCTGGCCACTGAGTCACAAGATCAATTTGCCTTCATGTGGGACGGGCAACAATGGACCTTTCAAGTCCTTCCCTAACGCTATCTGTGCAGTCCCACTGCACGCCATGGGATGGGAGCCCGAGACCTGTCCCTGTTCTCCTTCCCCACATCAGTAAGATGGGCCTGTTACACTGATGCTGTAATGTTGACATGTGAAGACTTGTCTCTGCTGCAGGACAGTCTGCAGGCTTTGCTGGAACATCTGTGAGGGAGAGGTTGAGTGGCAAACCCTCAGAAAATTCCAGGCCCAGGCACCACCGTAAGGTTTTTGGGAGTCATTTGCTGGGGTAAGACACACATTGTCACAGAAGCTATGATTGATAAGGTACAAGCCTCTCCAGCCGCTAAGAATGTGAAAGAGAAGCAAGCCTTTGGAGGACTGAGGCTTTGGAGGACTTTATTCCCACCTGGCACAGTGCGCCCACCCCTGACAAGGCCTGGTAAAGAGGGGGCACATGTGGGATGGGGGATCAGAGCAGCAAGCCACCCTTGAGAAGACGAAATACTAATGAAGCAGATCAAAGCTCTGGACATCTCCCAAGTGGGGCTACCATTTGAGTTAGATGTGTCTGTGACTACAGAATAGATGGGTTGGGCATGGTGGCAGAGACAGCAGAAGGAGAGAGGACCCCTAGGATTTTAGTCCTAGCTCCAGAAGGGGATAGAAACCTGATTTACCCCCAGAGCTCCCAGTAGTGTGCATAGCACTCCACCAGGTAGAGCCTCTCTCGAAGGAACAGCATTTCATGATAGGAAATTCCTTTCCTATCAAGGGATGGGTTGAGTACATGTTCTATCAGCCCACCTCTGCCATTGTTCAACCCCCTCGTTGAATAAGTGGCCTATTTACAACAGAGGGGCACCCTGTCTGCCAGCCCACTACCTCTAGAATTTCAAGTGCTAATAGGCCCTGAAGACTATGTAGATCTCCAAATGCCCCCGCCTCTATACCTGTGGTGGGCCCTGCTGCCTGTGGAGAGGCAGGGGTAGGGTGGAGCAGGCAGTGGATCCCCGATGATGCCTTGTGTACAGATGAGTGTAGTTGGGGCAACTGACCCACATGGACTGCAGTTGCTATTCTGCCCAACACTGACACCATCTGGATGGAAACAGGAACAAACTGCAGCAGCCAGTGGGCTGAGCTGAGAACCATTTGGCTGATCATCATCACTCATGAGCCTAGCTGTTACCCCTTTGCGCTAACAGTTGGGCTGTTCTAAAGGGATTAATCTTATGGCTTAAACAAGGGGAGGTGGAGGGATAGATGATCATAAATAAGCCCTTTGTAGGGTCAAGATGTGTGAAAAGACATTTGAGTTTGTCTCCAAGAGTCTGAGGCAGTCCTCACTGTCTTCCACATCCTGGCTCACAGGGTGCGACATTACCTGGCCATCAGGAAGCTGATACGCTAGCCTGGGTACAAGCCCTAGCAACTGACACTTGAGTAGATACAGCAGATTGGGTGCATAGAAAGAGCAGCCAATGTGGAGCCCAGGTTGGATAGTGGGTTGCCAAGGATGCCTGATTGCCCTTGAAATACAGTGACTTGTTTAATGCAGAACCTATGAGTTCTAAACAGTGCCCAAGGCAACTGCCAAAGGAGTCTAGGGGCACCCATCAGCATTCCCAACCAGTGAGAGATTAGATGTTGAAACATACTGGGAATGGAACGTGCATCATTAAAGGAGGGGAGAAGGTGGGAGTCCTGGTCTGGAATATCCTGCCTCCTGTCCATCTCCTCATGCCTGACAGTGCTGCCTCCCCAGAAACATGTGTGGTAGGCACAAGCAGGTCAAGTTCCTAAAGCTGCCACCTCCTCTCCTCAAGGCCAGGTGGGCACGTTCTGTTTTCCACTACTACAATCATTTGGCCACTGTCTTTGTTCCTTCCATTGGCCTGGAGGATGTTATAGCACACACAGATGCCCTTACTAACTACACCTTGCAAGCCTTAAATGATAACGAACAAAGCCTGTCCTCAGGTCCCTAATGCAAAAGCTGCCCTCCAATAGAGGATGCCCTTGGACATTATTACTGTCTTGCAAAGGCCAGTGTTGTGTGTTCATACCTGACGAGTCAGCTAATGTATTTTCTTTATTAAGTCCCCTCAAGGGGCACCCCTACCGCTTTTCTCTGCCTGCAACCTCCCCACATAGTCTGTACCTCCACTGCTCCTCCAGCACCCAACCTTAAAGGAAGTTAGAAGGAGATTGGCTCTGCAACTCCAGCTCCTTCCACTAGCTTCCCCTTCCAGAAGGAGGCCAGAAAACTGGACAGATTCGTCAGGCCTGGAGCCTCAGCTAGCCCTCCTGGTGAGAGGCAGCTCCCGGGCTGCACCTCTCCTGCTGAATGTTATCTAGGGCAGGGGGCAAGGCTGGGGGTGAGTGGGGCTGTCTCCTTTTGGCTCATTTAGCCTTGTTTCCTCTTTACACATCTGACTTCCCTTTGGGAACACAATTACAATAGTAATACCACCAGTAGTAATAATAATAGCTTGTGCCTGCTATTAAGACTTCTATACTAGCTCTTCTGGGCATTATCTCAATTAATCCTCATCATACTCTATGACAGGAATTATATCCATTGTACAGATAAGAAAACCGACTCTGAAAGGGGAAGGACATTGCCTAAGGTCCTGTGACTCGTGGGAGCCAAGTCACAAGCCGACTCTCCCCACACCCAAGTCCGCCTAACTCCTACTGCTGCAGACGCCCCTCTAGAATCCAGGGGCCACTCTTGTGTCTGCCCTGAGGGGGACTTGAGACGTGACCCTGGGCTAGCTCCTTCCCTCTCTCGGCCTTGGTTTCCGCAGGTATAACCCGGGCTAACACGATCTTTCCTGATCACCCACCCTCTGCGCACTCCAGTGCAGTGCAGTCAGGAGCCCCTTTCCACCCCTCAAAACCGCACACCCCTCGGAGCCGCAAAGGAGAGCGCGGGAGACTGCGACGGACCAAGCCTTTATTGCGGGGCCGCGAGAGGAGCGCCTAGTTCAGGCTCAGCGTTTTCCGGCTCCAGCCTCCACCCCAGCGCAGTCGGAGCTCCCGGCGTTGTCGGAGCCCCCGGCGCCATCCGAGCCCCCGGCGCCGTCCGAGCCCCCCGCGCCATCCGAGTCCCCGAACACTGCGTGGTGCGCGGCGGCGACGTAGCTGCAGCCGCTGGGGTCGGAGAAGCGCAGCTGTATCAGAGGCAGGAAAAGCTCGGTGGTGAAGTAGCGCAGGGACGGGCGCGGGGCGCGCAACGCCTGGAGGAAGACCTGGGGAGGCGGGAAGAAGCGTGCTTGCGGGGGCTGGGTGGGGAGACCCTAGCGCAGACCCCGCTCCCGCAGCTCTGCCCGTCGCTCACCTCGATCACTTCCTCCGGGTCCTGCGCCGCCTCAAGAAACATCTGTTCGCAGTGACGCAGGTAACGGGAGAAGAGGTCGCGGGTCTCGGCGTCCGCGTGGTCCAGTACCCCGCCTAAGCCGCCCTCCAGCTTCTCGGAGAAGGCGGTGTGCACCGGGCCGCACTCGATGAGGCTCAAGCTGCGGGCCGGAGAGCTGCGAGTGGGCAGGGGGCGGATGGGAGCCCGGGCGGGAGGGCGGCTAAGCGCAGGGAGCCGGCGCTTAGGATAACGGGAGCGTTGGAACGTGGTTTACTGCCCGAAAAGCGCCACCACATCTCCTGAAGGGTGTGAAAGTGGCTCTGATGTCAGAATGCCAACCTGGCTGGATCACTTACAGCTGTGTGGCCTTGGGCCAATCACCAAACCTCTCTGGGCCTGAGCTGCCCAATAACAATACATACACCTCACCCGGAGGCCGGAGGGTGGAGTGAGAGGACGCGCACCAAGCACCTAGTACTGTGATTGGCGCACAACAAACGGGAGCCGCACTAGGGAGGGGCCAGGGAGAACGCCTGAGAGCCGCTCCAACCAGATAAGGTGCTGGGGTTCCCAAAGTCGGGGCTCAGAGAGTCCCGGGGGCGGGGCGGTGACTCACTGGATCCCGAAGGCCTGCAGCAGAATCGCCAGACTCTCGCACAAACCTTCTACTGCGAACTTGCTGGCGCAGTAAACGGCGTTGAAGGGAAGCGCTTGGAGGGGAGAGGAGGCTGTGAGGCGCGTCCCGGAGGAGATGTGCTGGGAGCCCCAGGCGCCCGCAGCGGTCTCACCACGCTTTTTATTAGACCCCCGGCCTCTCCCGCTGAGCCTCGCCTCCTGCGCGCCTCTGGCCCCAGCCTCTTTGCACTCACCCATCAACCCTCCCATGCTCCCGGTCACCAATATGCGTCCCGAGCGGCGCCGCTTCATGTCTGGCAGGAAGGCCTGCAGCATCCGCACGGTCCCTTTCAGGTTCACGTCCAGCACAGAGTCTACGGCGTCAGCCTTGTGTACCTCCAGCGGCCCCATCAGGCCCCGGCCTGCATTACACACTGCGGAGAGAGAGACCCCCACGTCGCCCGCCTCACACACGGCCCCCCGCCCCGCCTCTCCCCTCGTGCCCCCTGGGCCTCGGGACATCTTGGTTTGGACACAGGGTGAGGAACGCTTCTGCATATATTTTGCGGGGATGCTCACCTAGCACGTCCACGCGGCCCTCGGCCACGCGTGCCCGGGCAGCGGCTATGGAATCTGCGTTCCTCACGTCTAGCTGCAACGTCTCCAGGGAGCCCGGGGGGCACCCTCGGGACCGGGCAGCCTCCCACAGTGGGCCCTGTGTTGTCAGGTCCCTCAGCGTGGCATACACTGGAGGTTCAGAGAGAGGAGGAGGCTCTGAATTCTGGGCTTACGACTATCTAGGCTCCCTTGGACCAGCAGCTGCTCCCTTCTCTCCACACCACCCTCTCCTTCCTCTCATGTACCTTTGAAGCTCTGGGACGGGTCTGACGCCAAACGCAGGGCCAGGTGTAGGCCAATGCCAGAGGAACAGCCAGTGATGAACACCACGGTGCGCTCCATGCAGATGTGCATAGGGAGAGGCACCAGGAATGCTGGGCTCTGGTCTCTGGGATGTATATCACCTGCTTTGCCCCTCCCCTCCCCTCTGGGGTCCCCACCCTTTGTTATGTCTACAACACAATCTCAAGGCTGAGCCCTCCCTTGGGTCACTGGCTGGCCCTCCACAACCTACTCTAGGTCAAGTCAGAGATGAGGCTATTGCTTGGAACATCCCTCTTTGGGTGTAGGTCAGAGGGCGGGTGAAGCTTTGCAAACAGGAGGTGTGGGCTCCTGTGTGGGCACCAGATGCCCTGGGAAGATCTTCCCCTGGCAAGCCTCTGTCCTACAAGGACAATTCTAGTTGCCAGAGTTTGTTGGTGAGGATGTGGAAGTAAATGCTTTGGCATTCTCAGTTCAAAGGTCAGGGATATTAAAAATGGGGAAGCTGAAGCAAGGGGGCAGGCAGAACGGGCCTCACCAGTATCAGTGTCTGTAGCCCCAAGTCCTCCCAGGCACTGCGGCATTGACATTCTGACACACAGGTCCAGGTGATTCATCACTTTATTAAGTGGTACTAAAACAGCTCTTTGATCCCAAATTTGGGGGTGGAGGAAGGCAGCTCACCCCCTCCAAACCTTCCATGGCTGATCCCACTGGCAGGTCTTGAGTTCCTTCACCCAGGCTTGGGGAATTCCTGTGACGGTTGTTCAGGTCCAGGGCCCAGGAAGCTGCCCAGGCCTGGAGTTTGGGGAGAATATGGCCCAAGTGTAGTTAATCTGTCATAAGGAGCCAGCCACCCACAGAGGGTAGAATTTGAGGAAGACCTTCTTGGCCAGGTCCACCGTGTCACCTTGGGGCTCACTGGGATACCTCTTTGTCCCGAGGACGAAGGTCTGCTCCAGCTGGAAAGCATTCTTGTCAAACAGGTGCTGTTGGAAGGGGATGCCTTGGGCCAGGTTCGCCACCAGCGTCTCCATGAAGAGCCGCCAGCGGGGGGCATAGTAGTCAGCCACCAGGCCGGCCAGCTGCTTGTTGGCATAGTCTAGGATGTTGCCCTCTGGCCCCCACAGGGTCAGCTGGTAGCGGCTGTTCTGCTCATAGAAGTGGGCCTCGGTCTCACTGACTGCCGCCCCCCGGGCCTGCTTCAGCCAGCTGCCCAGCAGGAAGTGGCTGTCACTAGCCAACACCTTGTCCAGAGCGGGCAGAAGCTCGTAGGCCAGGATGCCTCCGGCCCTCATCAGGGGAACCAGCTCCTTGTTCAGATAGGCGGTCCTCGCCTTTTCATAGTACAAGCTGACAAGCTCCTGGACCGCCTGACGAGTGATGTCCACCAGGTCATAGCGGAAGGCTGGGCTTGTGGCCAGGGTGGGAGTGGCTTTTAGCAGCAGCCGCCAGGCTTCAAATACATCTGATCGATTGTACCAGACGGTGGTAACCATCCGTAGGGATGGCCGCCTGACCAGTGGGCTGTAATTGTGCCCACTGTAGGCCTCCCCAGAGCAGTTGTAGACACTCCTGAGAAGTAGCCTCCACGCCGCCTCTGCGTCTCCATGGGAGACCCCGTACCGCCGGGCTGCAAAGCCGGTCACCCAGGCCCCCAAATCTGCCACTGGGTCTTTCCGCCAGCCCAGCTCAGCCATGAGGGCGTAGACCACCTCGTTCTGGCCGATGCCCTCAGGGGTCATGCCCGTGCCAACCATGGTGGAGTTGGGGAAGAGGCGGGCGGCTGTGGGGCCCCGATTCACAGACTCCAGGGCCCCAAACAGGCCGTGGTTCCCCCCAAAGTTATGCAGCATGCACCAGATGAAGGGCTGGCCTTGGAAGGAGGCCGTGCGGATGTACACAGGCTGGATCTCAGCAAACAGGTCCAGAACCAGGAGGCGGCCAAGGGGCACAGCCCCCAGCACAGCCCCAACCTGGGCAGGTCCCCAGAACTGGGGCTGGTGCTGGAACAGCCAGCCTTGGAACAGCCACACAGCATCAGGGTCCACTGCGATTGGGGTGTTGGGGGGACAGAAAAGAGGGTGATGAGAAGAGAGGGGGCAAGGAAGTGTTCACCCCATTCTTCAGATGAGGAAACAGAGGTCCTGAGAAGTTAAATGACTCTATCCCAGGACACCCCTTCCCCTGTAACCCTCCAACCAGGAGGGCATTCCTTTCCATCACACATACTATTCCCACCTCCTCCTCCCCACCACTGGGAGTGCCAGGATAGTGCAGTGAAGCTTCATGAAGGAACAGAATTACCCAGAGGGCTGGGCCCCAGCGCCCGCCATTCTGATTCAGGAGGTGGGGGAGGTGCGGAGAATCCGCAGATCTGAGTAGCTGTTGCTGCTGGTCTGACTGGATCGCACCTGGAGCAGTGCTGCTCAGGGAAGCCTGGGCCAACTGGTCCCCTGCCTGGCTGACACTGAGGCGTCCACAAGCCCTCCCTGACCTGGCCCCTCTCTGCCCCTGCTGTGTAAGTGGCAGGAAGGAGCGCTGGGTTCCCATTAGTGCACCAGGAAAGGCACCTACCAGCTTTGGGCACATCACCTAACCTCTGGCCTGCGTGACCTACGTCTGCATGGAGGTGGAGACCAAATAAAACATTTTCAACAGCCAGCACTAAAAGATGCTTTACTCTGGGCAGGGTGTCATTCTACTCCTGAGGCAGCCCCCTTTTACAGAGGAAGCAGCTGAGGCACCGGGAGGGAGATAAGTTGTTGCAAGTCTTGCAGGCAAGCAGTGCTAGCGTTTGAAAAGCGTGCCCAGCTCCAGAGCTCACCTCTCAACCTCAGTTTGATGAAATGAGATGTGTGTGTAGAAGGGAACTGTCAAGTGCTGTGTGTCACAGTGAGGTGTTATAATCCCCAGCCCTTCTCCCACCCTGACTGACCTCTGCCATCCCCATCTCCTTGAGGGTCTGGAGTGGGGGGCTTCCCTCCCCACCTCCCCCTGCTGGCAGCGAACCTGTGATCATGGCCTGGTAGACAGCAGCGGTGGCTGCAGCGAGGTAGGAGGGCTCCGAGGAGGGGGGTTGCATCTCATTGAAAGTGTCGGCCCCATAGATGTGATCTGTGCCAAACTCTTTGGTCAGTTCCCGCAGGAAGAGGCTCCCCACGATGGGGAATAGGGGGTCTTCTGGAGCCAGGAGGAAGGAGCAGGAGTAGGAGCAGTTGAAATGTCCCCAACTGCCCAGCTGGGTGATATTGACCTGAGGGAACACCCTGGGGGAACGTGTGATAGTTCAGATAGTTACTAGAGGCTGACACGGTATTTATGGCAGCCTCGCTAACCTATCTGCAGTTCCTGGGTCTCTCATGCCTCTGTGCCTTTGCACATACTGTGCCCTCTGCCTGGAGTCCTTCCCCCTCCCTCCCTGTCTGTGCATCTGGTTATTCCTCAACATCCTTTAAGTTTCACCTTGTCTGGAAAGCTTTTGCTGTCTCTCCTGCACCTACCGGCTGACACAAATGACACCACCTCTGCTCTGAGCCCTTGCTGCCCCCCTTCCCCAAGTGGAAGTGACCTTGACAGAGACGTGGGCCCAGGTATATTCTCGCCCTTTCACTGTTCCGTATTCCCCTGGCAATGTATCTCCCACCAGGGGCTGAGCCTGGTCTGGCAGCCCCAGACAGCCTGATGGACATTTGCTGGATGTGCCAATAAGGTTCCTGCCACCCAGTTGGGGAGGCCAAGGGGTGGCCAGCGAGGCCAGCAGCATGTGCTGAGTGCTATGAGGGCAGCAGGAACTAGGGGCTCATAGGGGCACCATGGAGGCAGTGATGATCAATGCTGGGGGTTCCCCGCAAGGCTTCCTGAAGGAGGGGAGGTCTCAGCTGGGCCTTGAAGAGTTTTCTTAGCCACAGGAGAGAATGGGTGGGCAGCACAGAAGAACAGAGGAGCAGGAAGGACAGAGGAGACCACTGTGCCCCTACTACCACTGAGAGCTGCCATTTGCTAAGACTCTGTGCCAAGACAAATATAGTTTACAAATGAGGAAACTGAGGCCCAGAGTGGTAACTAATCAGCCCCAGTTAGTAACAGAACCAGGAATCAAGCTCAGGCCTGCCTCCAGAGCTTATCTTTTTCCTTAAATCATGTCTTGCAGGGGAAAATACATTCTCCCTCTGAGCTGAGTTGGGGGTGAGGGGGGCACATCACCTGGTAAGAGCCTTGGGGACGTGTCCTGCGAATGCCGGCAACACCGGGATCATGCCAAATGCACGCATCCGGTCCAGGATCCGGTGCTGGGAGGAACGGGAGGGCAGTGGTGCGTGCGGCCCTGGGGTGGGAGGCCCTCACTCTCCCAGAGCACACAGAGCCCCATCGTCCAGTTAGGAGCCTTGAGGTGGGCCATATACCACCCTCCCTAGGCCTGTGACTGCCCAGTACCAATTGTGTCCCTTCCCTTCCCCATCTTTACCTGCAGGTAAAGCTGCTTGAGGTGCCAGGAGCGGGGCAGGGGGCCACTCCAGGTGTGCAGGTTTCCCATGCGTCCCCAGGCCAGGAAGGCAGGACCAGTGAAGTACTCATCGATCTCTGACTGGGTCAGGCCCAAGGTCAAGTACACCTGAGGAGGAGGGCGAGCCCCACACATAGGAACACATTCATCTTAGGGGGACAGTGGTGGGGAGGGTATAGCTCAGTGGTAGAGCGCGTGCCTAGCATGCATGACATCCTGGATTCAATCCCCAGTACCTCCGTTAAAAAAAATACATTCATCTCTATTCATTGATTCATTCATTCAACAAACATACATGTACCTCTTCTCTGTGCTGTGCCCTAGAACTACCGAGATAAAACTCCATCCCTGCCTGCGAGGAGCCCAGGAGAAATAGATCTGTGAGCTGGTGAGTTTGCTAATACGTCACCCTTGTGGAGTGGTGAAGCGAGGCACGAAGGGGTTCCCCCCAAAATGGGGAAGAGCCTTAGAAAGCTTCATGAAGCAAGGAGGGTTAGAATGATGGTTGAGTGAGGCTCTGCGGGGAGCTAACACAGCTCCAAGTGTGGCCAGAACCCTCAGGGCCCAAGTCTGGAAGCTCCCACGCTGGGCAAAGCCTGAAGGCAACAGGGGAACTCCTGAGTGGGTGAGTGGCAGGAGGTGTCAACCAGATTTGCATTTCAGAAAGGACACTCTGGTGGACTTGGAAAGCCAGGAAAGGAAAATCAGAATGGAGTGGGTATTGCCTAGAGCACTCTCCGAAATGGGGCCTGGAGGCCATTAATGATGTGCGACATGCCGCATCTCAGCTTGGATGGAATGTGGCCATTTGAGCTGATAAAGTCATCCAGGGAAACTGCCAGAAACTCAAGATACTTATCAGACCTTTACCCTAAAATTACAGGTGACAGTCTATCTACTTACCCACGAACCCCCAACCCTAAAACAGCTAGTGATTCCCTAAGGACAAATATTTTCTAATATGTGTCATCAGTCACAA